TTCTGAGCCTTAAGCATTCATGTTGATTAAGCAAGATTCAAGATTTTCAAGATTTTTTATTCACTCCAGCCACACATTTCGTGTGTAACAGGAGGTCAATCTTCGGATACATTTCTAATGGTAGATCAACTGGAAAGATTGGTGTATTTTTCAACAAATCATAGCATGCATACATATAGTACTATACATACATATAGTATCATACATACATATAACATCATAGATACATATAATAACATACACACATACATATAATAGCATACATACATACACACAACAGCACACATGCGAATACATACCTGCATTCATATAACAGCATCCATGCATACATGTAACAGCATACATGCATACATATAATATCATACATACATATAATAGCATATATGCATACATATAATAGCACACATACCTACTTACATATATTTGCATACATACATTCATATAATAGCCTACATACACACATACAAACATTCTTTGCATAGCATAGCAAATCATAGCATGCATACATATTATAGCAAAGCATACTTACATACATGACATAGCTAAGCATTGTATACCTACAGTTATAGCAGACTATATTATAGAATAGAATAGCAAAGCATGCATGGCATACATAATAAATGATTATAATATATTTTTTTTCTAGTTTAGATAAGAATTTGCTTATTTTGCTGAGCAAGGAAAAATTGCAAATAGAAAACATACCTTTCATTTTGACAATAGTTGGAGTGATATAATAATAATTGGGGATGTATTTATATGACGTATTTCAGTTACAGCGTCATTCTGACATTGGTACAAATAATGAAATTCGTCACCTACATCTGTTGTACACAAGGGACACATTCTTTCCTGTCTTGGGACGCCTGTTCATCGACCTATGTATATTGACAGCCATAAATAGGACATTCTAAATTTACATAAAATTTTCCGTTCTTGTGGGAAGAGCTTCAGCAAATATGGATCAAATTTCCATCCGTTTTTGAAAACTGAATAGGTTTTACCACTAGAAGAACTATCTATGTGATGATACCATTTCTGGATAAATTGATCGATTAATCTCTTCTTGATAATGCATTTTAAGGTATCTCTATTGACTGTACATGTTTTTTGGTTAGTCCATATATTGTTAAAACAGGGACAGTATATAGAGGGGATTGGCAACTCTGCCCCAGTCAAGATTCTATAGCACGTCGCTTTTGTGTTTGTTCACCGAACCGCGAAGTCATCGAGAGCCCCTCTCGATCAGCCTGCGCTTGCGCACTAGCGTTAAAATTAAGCACGCACCTGCTTTCGGTGTCATGTCACAATCTCGCCGAGATCGAAGTGTTTTGATAACGGTTAGCCCTAATTGGGACTGTGTATTAGTAGGTCTTCTTTTTATTCCAGGGACAGGGCTATCGTTGCCACTATGTCTAGCCTTTCGGCTGTGTTGGTGGCTATTACAACAAATCACATTTCGTAAAGCACGTTCCAGTGAAAATAATGCTAATATTGACACTTTTTGACACAAAAACAGCACAAGTTATTTGTTATTTTTTGCCATAAAAATTAGTACTACATATCAAAAAATTATTCAACTTTCTATCGCTGTAAATTTCAA